ACGATAGCGCGTTATAATTTAGAGAGCCAGTAACGGTAACGATAACGCGCTACTTTGGGTCGAAATAACGATAACGATAGCGCGTTACTATTTGATAGTAACGTTCCCAACCCTGTCAATAACACAAGCAAAGCAGTGGCACATCGCCATTGGCAGGTCAGTGAGACTCCATCATTATTATTGTTAATGTAGAAGGTATGTAAAACTCCCCGAAGGCATATGGCAAATTTTCACTGCTGTGTTAGTAGCTCCTAGCCACTTAACTTCTCATTTGGTTTGGCATTGGGTTTGTTTAGACACTAGACATACATTTTGCCGCAGTGCATCCAAAAATTCGCCATCACGTTTGTGCCAAATTGCCCACAAAAATATTGTACTTTTGTATCATCCATTTATTGGCTGCGAGACTGGTTGATGCTCATTAACATTCTCTGTCCGGCCACTAACAGGGAAGCGTAGGTGAGCTTGCTCTAAGATAGCGCCCGAGCCTCCTATCTCGACTAGAGTCCAGTGAACTCAGAGAGTCTTGGCTCGGCAGCCCCACCCAATTTCGTCGCGAGTATTATTTAAGGGTCAGTTTTCGTTCACCCCGATTCTCCAAATATTACAACGAAATGTAGTGCTCTGACACTGCAATGTTCGTGAATTTTCTGAGGGGTCGTCAACTCCCACATTCCTTTGTAACCGGCCTGATATCACACCGATATTAGGTCAATATTCCCGCTACCACTGCATTGCTGGAGCATGGCAGGAGAGGGAGAGGCTGTTGGGATTTGCTCGGGCCGAGCAAGAAAGCAACGATTCACATGAACAGTCTTTTGCTGTAAAGCTAAAGCATCGTCTACTTGCTTCACTACAGAGACGTTGAGAGCAAATGAAACCGTTTGTTGAAGTTCAATCGAAATAAATAAATAAACAAACATCGTCGGGTTTGTATTTACTAGAGGATTGCGTCTCTACACGATTTTGCCAAAAAATATGCAGTGGAGGCCCGCTTGATGCGATTTTCGATTTTTAGGCTTCTTCCCCATAAGAATTACATGTAAATTTAGACGTAGGGTGCGGCACAGGTTAGGGTCGTGCCACAGCCGCGGGATTTTTTTTTCTTGGTTCTAGGCCTTAAAAGGAAAGGAAAAAGCAGTGATGCAAGTTGGAAAATCGGAATTCGTATTTTCAGCCGCACCCTAGGCAACGTACTTGGTCAAGTGCCAAAAAGTGCAGCAAGTCTCCCCCAGCATTTCTGAGGACTGACACATGCCTAATTACTGTCAAAATGCGAGCAACGTTATGCTCTTTATCAAAAGCTCCTGCACACTGCTGCTCATTGTCATTGTCAAAATGCACTGAGACTTGTACAAAAATTGTCTTGACGTAAGTAAACAAAGGAGTCATCTGACTTCATATTACGGTCCATGGCATTGATGGATATAAGCCGAGTACAGCCAATCAGACACAATTTGTATTTTTGAAGTTGCCGCACATTGTCAAATCCCTCTCGACCAATAACTCCCATATATCTTCATTGTTCACGTTGAAGTCTTCACCTTTGCCAACCAGGTACATGCTCGGACCAAAGTCAGTGACACGCTGCAGTTTCTCTTTGTTTAAAATCTCATCAAGCCTAAGTCTCACACCTTCGGATATTCTGTTATACTGTCGAGCCGACACAGTCAGACCAAGCAGAGTGCGAGTGACTAGCTGGACAACAGCACCTTAGGAGAGGTAACCATTTTGGCAATGTTACCATTCAAGGACTCAAAGTTATAAGTAGAGTAACTCCTAGATGGCCCAAGTTTCCTTACACTACTGACTTTGTGAGAGGTTGTGACATGGAAGTTAAATTTGATCCTGTCAATCCCAAACAGTTCTATTTTACCCGACATGTAAGCAAGTGAAAACCACCCCGAACGGTGATGATGGTGATACTCCGCGTTAGCGCGCGACCAGCGCTTTGCACGGCGGTACTCCCTGCTCTCCCATCCCTTCCCTCAGTGCGTCTTCTATACTCCACTCTCATCACGTCAGCGATACTCCCTTCTTTGCTTTCTCTTACCAGTGCTTGTTTTATTTGAGAACGGCTTAGTTGTCATATGTATTATTAAACGGGATAAAAATATCCAGCAGCTGCTAAACCAAAAGAATCGTGTACACAGAAATACAACAAGTTCAAAAAAAACTAAAATCAAAAAAATACTTATCAACACTAAGTAATACTTCCAAATACACTCAAAAATAAAAGATAATACAAGAAATACACACGAAGCGTAAACAAAAATACAGCTACACCCCTCTCCCCTGAAAAATGTATAGGCACTACATACGTTTCGACATAAAAATGGACAAAACAAATTTTCCAATGTTTTCGTATTTCAGCTATGTGATTTTTTCCGAGAACTTACATTTCGAACTTTGCAAAACCCGTACACTGTTAAATACCTTCAAAGCAACGCTTTGCAGAACTGCGAAGTATTTCGATCTAACTACGAAGCATTTACTGTGCAATTACAAAGTGATGCTTTTCATTGCTTCGAAATTGGTATCACTTTGTAATTGCAAAGTAAATGCCTCGTTACAACAATGGATTTAAATACTTCGCAATTCTACAAAGCGTTGCTTTGAAGCATTTTAACCGTGTAGGTCAACTACTAGCGACATCTTTTAAGAGTAACTAGAAATTTTTTTGACCGTCGCAGACCCATCCGTTGCGCGACAATCGTGCAAGGGACTGCATCATTCCAGTTGGAGGCGAAGAGCGGCGTGTTCCCCTATTGAAAACGTTTTCACCCCATATGAGCCCGCAGAAGGGAGTCCGCCTGAAGCCCGAACGGACAGGTCTTTGAGGAGACTTCCTTGCAGTATGAGGAGGTTTTGTCAAACCAGGGGAGTTCGTCAAAGTTTCCCCTTTTTCCTCAAAAAATGAGACGTTGTTACTGTGAACAGTTAAAACCTAGGCGAATGTATATCTTTGAAGGTACACAAAATCGGTAAGATTTTTTATCCAAAATTGTAACATTTTACTTAGATTTTACGGCGTTATTCTGTTAAAACCTCGGAATAAGCTAGGGCGCAGCTTTAAGTTCAACAAATTTCGGACTTTGACGGGACCGTCCGGCGAGTTCCGGACACACCGGACTGTCCAACATTATCCGGATTCATTCCGGGTCGTCTGGACGTCGACGGGCATCGACCGGACTGTCCGAGTCGCGCGCCGGAGTGTCCTAGTCGGGCGCTGGACTGACAGCGGAGGAGTCAAAGGAAATGAAAAGAAAAAGGATCACTGTTTATTAACTTTTATTGTCTTGAATTTAGGATACAATTGATGAGGTATATTTTATACCCTATCAACGCCTGAAGTGACTCGACAAACCCTTACTAAACTTCATACTACCATATTTATAACTATAGACATATATTTATTGTCGCATCAGTATAATATGTACCTAGAAGAGTATATTTTCAGTGCTAATTAAAGTAGTAATAGCTAGAAGAGTATATTTTCTGTGTCTTTTAAAGAAAGAACATATTATTGTCTTGGAGCAGCATTTGGAAACACCCGAGTTTCCTCCACTTAACTAACATGTCATGCTGTAAATTGATATGAAACAGAATTTTCTTACGATTCAGGACCACCATGTATTTTTGGGTGACATTTTTAAAAGTACCTTTTTTGTCCATTTGCCTCAAGGTTCATAGTCAGTTTAAGTTACAAAATTCGTGCCCCAGCCACAAACATCCGAATGTATCCGTCCTCCCCCCCAGCCCCAGATAAATGAATGTACACTGGAAAAACGAAGGTAGGAATCAACAACCTTCTGGGCGTGTTAATGACTTTTATGCCTTTCCTTTACATAGGCTTTTCAAGATTCGCACCCCTGCGAAGGCAGTAGAATTAACTAAAGGTGCTATACTTTGGTGCCTTTGGACACTTTTGTGCCTTTCTAAAGGCATTAAAATTTAGCACCTTTAAAAGCCAATAAGTCTCAGGATTGTTTTTTCAGTGTACCGAATCTGTAGACACTCTGAAAACAGGAACCATGACCCAATTTAGGTACAATTCGCAGTTTATGAACATTGTCATACGATTAACTTGAAAAACACATAATACATTGTAACTGCAAAACCTGCTCAATCCGTATTTTAATAAATGAAAGCACCTTCTGGAAAGTGAAAGTTGCACTATCTACAGCTCAGTGTTGAAATTATTCGAAATTTTATACCAATTCTCAAACACGATACTAAAGAAACGTCTTAAATTTAAAGTTAGCAAAAAGTGAGAGCGCGAGAATATTCTTTTTAACCACCTTATAACATCCACTTGAAACAATGCGGGTGAACTAATACTGTATAATGAAAATTTATATACCTTATAGTTAAGTTGCGACACACTCAAACATACTTTACACCGTTGAAAATTCAAAATGTTAATGGTGAAAACTGAAAAAAAACAAACATGGAACTGCTTCTGTTATGCATCTTTTGCGGCGATTGCCACCGTCGCTGCCGCCGCAGACGCGATTAATCAGCAAGAGATAAAGACGCCTTCGAGAAGCAGCGGCGGCAAGGTGAGCAGCAGCACGATGGTGGTGATGCTGGTGGTGATGGTGGCGCTGCTCAGGCTGGAGGTGTGTCGGCCGCGACGCTGGCTCGCGTCCCTCGCATCCCCCTGCGTGGCGCGCAGAGCGGCCAGCCTAGTGGGGACGCCGCCGCCGGGGGCTGCTGTCCTCGTTAGTCTGCCGATGGCGGCCCATGTTCGGGATCCTCCCTGCAATAAGCTGGCCGTTAGACATTCGCGAGCCGAGCCGCCACCCTCCGCCTGTGTGCGAGACCACGACGAATGATCCCTGGTCCTCGCTGCTTTTCCACGCCGTGCCGTTCACTACTGTTAACTAGAACTGCTCGCAAGAGCTGCTCAAGGGTGCGACTTGTCATGATGTGTGCCGAGTCGCGTTCTTACCGGTAGTAGCAGACCCGCCGATAACGGACGGGGCCAAACCTCCCGAAGAGCATGGGCAACTTGGCGCCACGCTCCGCCTGCTCGGCGGCCTCGTCGGGGGACGAGGCCACGGCTCTCCCGGAGCGAGCGTAACGCAGACTGCGGAAAGCAGGGAGCATGCCACTCCGAGCGAGGGCACCGATGTGGCGCTTGGACACGGCGCCCGCGCTGTCCTCCTCGGGGTCGGCGGCAGCCAGGGCGGTGCTGGCGGCAGGGCTCGCGGGCCGCCACGAACTGGTGCCCCACGAGCGCGCCACGGACCCTGCGAGGCAGCAGCAAAGCCAGAGAGCGTGACCGAGGGTGGATCAGACCGAAATCCGAGGCTGCTGGCTGGTTTTAGCATGCATTGTGGTTTTGCGCCCCCCTTTACGGGTAAAAATTCGCTGTTATCGTCCCACGGTTTTGGTCTATCTATGATGTCAAATTCAGAAACAGTGGTCTTCCGTAGACCTGGGCAAAATTGGCTATGGGTAACTCCTGCGAAAACCGACGATTTAGGTGAGGGCCACGAATATCCGAGCCACTTTTAGAACATTATCTATTAATACTGCGAGAAACCCTAAAACCGTCCTTATGGACGCGATCGGCCTTAAATTGTGGATCTGAAAGATCGCGTTTTTCCGTATTTATGTGTATTTTAATAAACAAATCCGCTAGTTTGGGTTAAGCGTGCCCTTAAGGTCGGGATCAAGGTCTCAAGGATAAACAAGTAGATGAAGCTCTGAAAGTAGCACACTTATCGGTGAACTTAAGATAAAACCAGTTTACGCAGGAGGGAGCTATAGCCAATTTCTGCAAATCTGCCCTGTCCCACATGTTTTTTCATAGACCAAAACCGCGGGACATTCAACGCCACTGAAGGTACTTATCTCCGTAAAAGGAAGTTGCCAAGCCACTAAGGCATAGAGGTCCAGCTCTGACGAATAAGCCAAGCATAGTTCTCGCTCCACTTGAGTGGGTCTTCGAAACATACAGGTATCGGCGCAAAAGCTCAGATCAAATTTGAGTCATGGCAAAGTTTTGCTCAAGCATTCGACAGCGTTTAGGTACAGCAACGTTTCACAAAAGCGTCGGAATAAGGCAGACAGAATATTTTACGAAGCACATTTTTCGCATGTTGATGTTTCTTTCAGAATGTCTACATAGACTTTACGTACCCTTAATGATTCACGTGCATGGTTGTGGTCATTCTGGAATGAGTAAGGTAAGGACAACACGACACACATCATGCACATCTAAAGGAATGACAAATGTTCAGGTACAAGGCGGTTGGAGATAACCAATAACATACATGCAGGGAACGGGCACTGCGGTAGTCGTGCAAATAGCAGGGGTCCGTAACTTAACACATCTTAAGGGAAGTATTTCCAGTGGCACAGTTAGATTTCAATCTCACTTTAAAGTATAGTTGGTTGCACCCCAACGTAATGTTTTGGCGCTGCTTTCAGTTGCCCGCAGGGGGTTTGAAGGTCATTTCACGCAAATTTAATCAAACATTCCCTAAATGTATTGCGCTTCATCGCCAACTTTGCATGCACACATCTCTAGAACCGTCTGGGCTACAGCGCCCAGATTTTGCAGGAACTTACCTTCCAGTGAGCACTTTCCTTAAAAAAATGTATAAAAAAAATATTAGGGGGTCACCATACGGGTCCAGGATCGTATTATCCTCTCGAGACCAGTTTTTGCAACCCCATGCGATTTTGTTCAAATTTTCTACAAGTAAAGAAAGTGCTAAGTTATGGCTTTCCTCAAAATCTGGGTGCCGTAGCTCAAACTGTTCTTCACTGTGATGACTTGTCGTACCGGGTACAGGAAAATTTTCCATGGAAGAAGTCAATCTAAAATTGTACAATTTACTAGCCCTATGTATCGACTTAGAATCGAATATCGAGTGACACTGGGAGGTTGTAAATGTACGACTCGTATTGTAAATGGAAAATTACAAAATATATCGTACATGTACAAATATATTTTTCACAGTGTTGACAGATGGGCATGCAAAGGTGATATTCAGACTTTAAATTTTGTGATTTTTTAAAATGAAATTCGCGTTCAACGACCATCAAAACCCCCTTGAACAGCTAAAACCAATGCAAAATCTTAGTGTGGAACCAGCTGTGGAAACAGCACTTTAGAGCACTATTGAAATCTGTAACAACAGAACACCTTGAAAACTCAACAGTGTACATTGTATACTGAAAAATCAGCGATCATTAATGATTGCTGATATATCAGTGTACATGGCATGATTGCTGATCTATCAGCAATCATAAATGATCACGTTTCGGTTTTTTTGCTGATATTTCCTTCCAGACGGATGTCATCGGAAAGTGGATAACATTTCCAGATTCCTCGTGAAAAAAGCTTTCAAACGGGCTACTATGTAATAGGGTTCACTACCGAAATGGTCTGCTTCTCGAAAATGCCGGTATAATGTAAACCAAGATATGGTAGCGGTGAATTTGAACCCTATCTCATAGTAGCTCGTTTGGAAGCTTTTTTCACGAGGAATCTAGAAATGTTATCCACTTTCCGATGACATCCGTCTGAAAGGAAATATCAGCAAAAAACCTAAACGTGATCATTTATGATTGCTGATATATCAGCAATCATGCCATGTACACTGATATATCAGCAATCATTAATGATCGCTGATTTTTCAGCATACAATGTACACCGTTGAGTTTTCAGAGCACCCTCCTTTGTTAGTTTTTCGTTAGTTCAACGTTACTAATTAATAATTTTTATTTTATATAGGGTTGTAAAAAATCAAGTAAATGTTCAGTTTTGATCTGGCGCAAAACGTCTATGACTTAACGTTTAAGTAGTCTCACATGAGTTTAAAGTTATAACATTAGTAGTTACCATGACGGAAAAGGCTACCTAAGTGTTAAGTGTTAAGCCCCTGGCAAGTCGGTCGTATGTACATAGAAAGGTGACTTATAAAGGACACTATGGTGCAGATAATGCGGTGTTTTCAGTCCACAAATCAAAATCCTTAAAAACTTCCATGCGTGAAGGTGTTCGAGGGAGGACCTTGCCCCAGGCTGAGCGGCGCTTGTCCGGTCTCACTCAAATGAAAAACCGGGCAAGTTCCGCTCAACCTCCGGATAACTTCACACAAAACTTCGACAGCTTGGTTTGTCCTTTTATCTGTAGTTTGTTACATTTTGCTCGACCCTTACTCTATACTCTAAGCCAACTATGGAAAAGAAAAAGGGCGGGGAGAGAAAGGTAACAAACAAATATTCTTTATGTCTCCCGGGGGTAACTCGCTAGAACCCCTGGCCTATCATTTTTTCCATTTGGCTTTTATCTTTCATCATTTATGTGCTAGGAGGAGTTTCTCTTTACTAAAATGACCAGGGCGGTTTTTTTAACTTGCGGAAGTCGAGGGAGCAGCCACTACATTTCTAGGCATACACAGAATTACGTGATAACTATCATACAAAGGATTGTTTTGCTATAACCCAGGTAGCAAAATATAGCAAACTGCATTCGAACCGCATTATATGCCCCATCTGAAACGCGCATTTAAGTGCATATTAGGCGCCTTCTCACGTTTTAGGCGCAGTTTAGATTGGACACGAAATGCACATTTTATGCAGATCTGCTACCTGGGAACTTTCAAACAGCTCAAATCAATAACTAATTTTCTAAAGGTCTCGCGATTTTTGACATCAACTTTGTCAAAGAAAATACTGTGGACAAAGTATGGCGACGAAATAATCGCCAAAATAGTGTTAAACTTGTTATCAGCTAGGATTTGCTCGATTGAGGAGTTATATACTTTGTAATAATTTTGTCAAAAAAAGGATGATTTCTTTAAAAAAAAAAGAAAAACAGCACGAGAATCACGAAACACCGAGTTATATCGAAATGAAAATTGGTGAAAGTATCACAAACTAGATTTAAGAGCAAGAGGAGAAAAAAGTCGAAGGAAAGGGTGACTAATCATTAATGACAC